TACTACATTCCATTAAAATAATAATAACAGTAATAAATGTTAGGATAAACAAGTTTGAGAAACACGGCCTATTATACTCTGTTATCTGAAAAGTTTATATGGAAGCTTGAGAAAAACCACAAAACCCTAGATTAAACGACTGACTTCGAGAATTGGTCCAAGCACTTCTAATAAAGTTAACGAGCATGGATACAGATTATGACCATTCAAGATAAAGGACTGTTAGGTCAAAGAACAACACAAATTTAATTTAATTTATAACAAGAGAATTTGTATTTTCAAAAGGATTTATTAAAGATGAACTTACCGAAGCCTTACTTACCATCGAGCGGTCTATGGAATCTATGGAAGTGGAGCTGGCATAGAGTGCAGGAGCCATCAGGCGGTTGTTGAAGTCCCTCATGGAGGAATCAAGAGTTGTGTTGGGAGAATCCTGCGGAGTTGCCACAGTGTGCGTGATTATAGGCTGCTGGCACAGCATTTTGCTCTCTGCAAATAATTAAAGATGATACTCCAGATCGTACCAGTGTTTCGCACACTTTTCTCCTTCATACGCTACACAGAATGACTGGAATATGCATATTTCTTATATGACATGATTAATAAATGACAGTCCTATTTAAACATTTATAATATAACTGGTTTCTGTCCTTCACTGCAATGTTATCAGCTCTGTAAAATAAATATTTTTTTTGCAATTTTTATTTCTGAACAACCCGTACAATAAGAACAGTCAATCACAGGGGTACGTATTCTTTTCAGAGTGTGAGTCACATCATAAAATGTGATGAATTTGAATTTTGGTGTCCAATAGTGCATTATATGGGTATATTATTTGTAATTTACTTTTAATTCAATTGAATTAGTTCCATCAATTAAGAAAACTCAAAGGCATTGGCAACATTTTAAATTTAAGGAGGATAGTCGTCCTTCAGAATATGATAGGTGCTCAAATAGTCAAGAAATTCCCTGCCTTCTACAGAACCTGAAGGTTCATTAATGTATCAATAACAACCCGTCACACAGTCCTATTCTGAGCTGAATAAAACCAGATACGTAAAGTCCTTTTTGTTAATGAGCCAAGTTTGTGAAACCAGTTTACAGAGTATACGAGATACAGAAAATTGGTTCGGCCGGGCAATCAACTAATACGAAACTTTTTCAGCTGTCTTCTCCAACGATGCAATCCGATTCACGATATCCCTAAAACTTTGTGATTTATGTAAGTTTTAAATGTGGTGAATAATTTATGACCACCCTGTATATATTTCTTTTGCAGAACAAGTTAAATTATAGGTGTGTTCCTTACCTTTCTGAATATTGCACTTTGGCTCGTAATCACGATCCAGATCTTGTTTCTGCTTCCAGCTGTTCTTTTCACAATGCCCATTGTCAGTTTTCCTCAACTCTTCTGCACTTCTCCATCTATTCTTCAGCTCCTGAAAATGGATAATACACAAATAGGGAAACTGTAACACAAAACTGATTATATACCTCCTTGTTATGAAAATAAAAAGGGAATTAATCTGTTCACAAAGTCATGTTCAGAAAGAAATTGCCTAAACTGGATCCAAAATTGATACTAATATGAAATGGCACAGATAAATATTATGCAAATTCTAGATGTCTGTGTCAACTTTCACTGCTTATTTTTAACAAACATTAACAAAGCAGGCAAAAGAACAACGTAGATTACACACGAGATTTGGCAGTTGACCAACGGAAGTCATTTTATGAGGCAGAATATAAAATTAAGATGAAAACAAAACCACAAAAAATAGAAAATGAAAGAAATGAACACACAAGCTAAACAGCGGGAAGCATGCGGCATAACACAGTTGACATACATTTCTTTGAAAGAAAGAGATATACAAAGATCAAGAAGTGGATGGTCAGAACAATTCAAAGTGTTTTGGACCTCAGAAGGAGTTTCAAAGTTTCCAAAAACTTGCACTGGTTAGTCAGCAAAAGTAAGGAGACTACCTGCGTTCCTGCGGTGTAGCTGTCGGATTCTGAACTCGAACTCGATCTTGATCCATCAAAGCTGGAAAAGTGATCACTGTACTCGCATTTGTGTGCCTGCTGCGCTTGTTTTGCCAACTCCCGCTGCTCCCGTTCGCGGCGCTCATTTCGCTGAAACACGAAAGAATTTCCCTTGTAAAAATTCTTACTGTGATTAGAACAGTGTTACCCAAAGTTGGAGCTGCAACTCCCTGGGGGGTTGTGAGGCTCTTTCTGAATATGACCTAAGTCCAGAAAATTTGGAGTATTACAAAGTAGATACTTACGGAGGGCTGAGGATATTATTGTTGTTGAGGATAATATCATGGTCACCTAACTGATCTTGTTGGCCCATTTCAGATCCACCACATCGTGACTTTCTTCTCAATGAAGGTCGTGACAGCTTCCATGAACAAACCCTCTGGATGCGTGGTGTGCTGTAAACAAAACCAAAGGTGGTCATTTCATGTGGAATTACTGCTTTAATTTGCCAAGAGAAGGAATAATTCTTTCAGTGACTTACTGACTTTATTCTGTTACTTTTCAAACAGATAATAAATTATGACTTTTCTTGTGACACATATTATCATACAATTTTATTTCATAACAACAAAAATTCTGAAAATGTCTTTAAATATTTGGGAAGTACAGTGAGATATTTAGATAGCAGAACCATGAAGTGAGTTTATGTTTTATGAACAAGCCCACTTATGTAGGATTTGAAGTTTCCACAGAGATGAGTAAGAAGATGGCTGTCTTCTGGGTTGTAGCACCGTGTAGTCTGGTAGCAGTTTACCGACGTTTCAGAGGTCATCCACACGCCCACATAATTCACAGAAGAAACAAATTAAACTGAAGTAGAATCTGAGACCAGCTTCAAAGGCACGCAGCCTGACATACAGTTTACCTTGGCAATGTGTCCCTGCGACTGCTGACTGCCACGAGGCTGACACGCCTCCCAAGTGTTGGTGTGGGCTGACTTAGGTTATTCACTGTGAATTTATTGTTCGGAGGTTTCAAGAGTCCAGGAATGCTGTGTTGTGATGACTGTAACAAAGGGGGCTAACCTCAGTGGAAAAGATCATTACCATCACTTAAAAAAAATAATAACAAAGAACTTTGAAGGAAGTTTTATTTCAGATTTTTTGATATAAAATTGTGTCTGTTCTTCTGCCTCACACATACTACATTCCATTAAAATAATAATAACAGTAATAAATGTTAGGATAAACAAGTTTGAGAAACACGGCCTATTATACTCTGTTATCTGAAAAGTTTATATGGAAGCTTGAGAAAAACCACAAAACCCTAGATTAAACGACTGACTTCGAGAATTGGTCCAAGCACTTCTAATAAAGTTAACGAGCATGGATACAGATTATGACCATTCAAGATAAAGGACTGTTAGGTCAAAGAACAACACAAATTTAATTTAATTTATAACAAGAGAATTTGTATTTTCAAAAGGATTTATTAAAGATGAACTTACCGAAGCCTTACTTACCATCGAGCGGTCTATGGAATCTATGGAAGTGGAGCTGGCATAGAGTGCAGGAGCCATCAGGCGGTTGTTGAAGTCCCTCATGGAGGAATCAAGAGTTGTGTTGGGAGAATCCTGCGGAGTTGCCACAGTGTGCGTGATTATAGGCTGCTGGCACAGCATTTTGCTCTCTGCAAATAATTAAAGATGATACTCCAGATCGTACCAGTGTTTCGCACACTTTTCTCCTTCATACGCTACACAGAATGACTGGAATATGCATATTTCTTATATGACATGATTAATAAATGACAGTCCTATTTAAACATTTATAATATAACTGGTTTCTATCCTTCACTGCAATGTTATCAGCTCTGTAAAATAAATATTTTTTTT